TGGGAGGGGGGGGGGGGGAAGGGGAAAAAAAAAAAGTAAAAAGAAAGCTGGGCTGGTGGCTAGGATGTCTTTGAGTTGGAAGAGAAAGCCAGACCCAGAATGGTCAGGGGTGACAGGGACCACAGAACCAGCCAGGAAACCAGAACAAGGATGAACAAGGTAAGTGGGTTCTGGGTTCTATGAGTTAACCTGGGTGAATGAGCCGCACTCATTCAGGAGAGCTGCTGAGGCCAAGCTGGGTGATATGTGGCAGGAAGAAATGATTTTGGAGCAGCCTGGGTGGGCAGAGCACTTGTCTCACTCCCCGGCCCATGCCCATGAGGCTGCATTTAGTCTGGTCAGGAGACACTCAGGGATGAAGGCAAGCCAGGCCGGGCTAGGAGCCTAGACCCCATGTGGCACTCACCGAGACCATCCTGCCCTCAGAGGGCATGAAGGCAGGTCGGTTGCTGAGGCGCAGCTTGGTCTGCAGTGTGTTGAAGTTGATCTCCAGCTGACATTTCTCCTGCACTTTGGGTGGCTTGTGCAGGCGCCGGTAGTCACGGAAGTCCTCCAGCTTCTGCTGCATGGCATGCATGGTATTCTCCGGCACACGATTTTCTAGCCACGGGATGGTGCGGCGGATCCACTCTAACAGCTAAGGTGGGGTAGGCAGAGGCAGAGTGGTAAGGGTGCCCAAGGGGGAAGTGTGCAAGGGCATTTCCTCCCTGCCCCACCCCAGCATGCCCTTCCTGCACAGGGTCCCCTGAAAGCACACTCCCTACCCACTACCATCCAGGGACATCCCTAGACAACTACTGACAGGCTGGCTCCAAGGTGCTTCTTCCGAAAGCCATGGCTCTAAGATGCCTAGCTCCCAGAGTATGGAACTTAGAGTGAATATCACTAAGCCTCCAAAAGCCACACGCTCCATGATGCTTAGTTACCAGTGTATGACAACTCAACTCAGAGGCAACATCACTAAGCCTCTCTACCCTCCCAGAGGAAGGAACACAGAGCCATTGTCCACCAAGAGGCAGAAGCCCTGAGCTGTAGCCTAGGTCCTACTAACTGGGTGGGCCTTGGTTTCCTCATGTTTTCTAGAAATGTGGGTTCTAGGCCAAAAGGAATAGAGGTTGAGTTTTGGAACAGAGCTGCCTGGAGCCCAGAGCAGGAAAGTGCCTGGATTGTTTGCCTGCAGCAAAGGTGAATCAAAGGAACATGCAACACCTGCGTGGTGCCAGGCCTGTCCTGTGAATTAACTTCCCAATAACCACAGGAATCCCATAGGCTTTAGGTGTTGTGATCTGTCAGGTCATATGTCTTGCTGCCATGACCTAGCAGGGATTTAAGCCTGGGCACCAGCTCTATCTGTAGAGTTCAAGAAACTGACTTTTCTTTAAAAAAGAATCAAGTGGAATCATAACCCAAACAAAGCCAATGGCAGAATAGCAAACTCAGCCCTGTCCCATCCTGACCCCAGCAGTCTGACTATTACACCAAGCTGAGCCACAGCCTACACCATCTCTATACCAGACACAGCCCTGTTCTAATTCAAGCAATACTCATACAGCAGCAGTATACCAGGGGAAAGCCTTTGAGATTCCCTGGCTCAGATCTCATTTGATAAGTAAAAAATAAAATGACAAGAGTTAGAAAAGTGAAGGGAAGCTAAGCTGGGTGCTGGTGGCTCACATCTGTAATCCTATTTACTCAGGAGGCTGAGACCTGAGGATTGCAGTTCAAAGCCAGCCCTGGCAGGAAAATCTGTGAGACTCTTATCTCCAATTAACCATCTAAAAACCGGAAATGGAGCCGTGGCTCAAAGGAGCTCAAGGGCAGTACCCAGGCCCTGGGTTCAAGCTCCATGACTGACAAAAAGAGAGAGAGAAAAGTAAAGGTATTTCCCAGGCTCAGGGTAGCCCAGACAGGGCCCTCTGCCTTCCATCTCCCTATTTCTAGGAGAGGCAGAGCAGAACCTAAGCTGTCCCACATTAAATGCAGTGGGAGTGTTAACTACACCTAGCCATAATTCTGTGCCCAGAGTGGTTTGGAAGTACTGCCTGGGCTATTTGTCTCAGGATGGGGTGCAAGGTCTTGTGGGAACCAGGCAAGAAAAACCCAGGGGTACTCACATCGCTGGCCAGCTTCTCATAGTCTTCCATAAGCTGTTCATTCTCCTGGTTGACGGCCAACACTTTGCAGATGCGATTGGCTGCGGTTTCCGCCTGGCAACAAGATAGAGACAGTTACAACCCATGTACCCCAGCAGCAGGGGCACCTGAACACACCAGTGCTGACAGAGCCCCTCCCACACCCTGCAGCTCTCCATGGTTAGAAGGCACTCTCAAGACTCTGAAGCCATCTCTCTCCTCCCTCTCCTCACCAACTCCTTTGCTAGTCCCTGGCTGGGTCTCATGGGCCAAATGAGTCTCACTAAAGGCCTAGAGAAGAAGGGCCTTGACTTCCCAACATGCTTGTCAAGGAGAAACAAATCCAATAACTGATTGCCATCCAAATGCTCTGCTAGTGGGGGAGAGGAATGGAAACCCATGGCCATCCTGGAATTCCTAGAATCTCAAGGCTCAGGACCTCAGGCTGGATTGGTTAGAATCTTTCAAGATGTGGGAATTCAAAGCTGGGAGTCTATCAGAGTCTCGGAGGCTACCTGCAGAACCATTCTGTGTCCCTAGCTCAAAGCCTAGAGCCCTTAGAGAAAACAAGGGATGGCGCAGTGTACTGGGGACACAACTTAAGGATCACACTCTCGTGGGCCAGATGCCCAGGAAGCTCAGCCTCCCCTGGGCGCCACCACTGGGACAGCCAAGCTCACGCTGGGTACCAAATGCTGGGCAAGCAGAGGCCAGAGATGGATAGCCCCAGCAGTGAGAGAAAAGAAGACATGGAGGAATGCAACCAGCCAACAAATGCCTACAGAGCCAAGGGCACAGTCTTCCCTGACTGGGCAGAGCCTAGTGGACTAACACTCTCAAATCCACCTTGCTCTGAAGGTCAGATGGGTCTTTGTACATATTCTAACCCTCTGCCAAGGGGAAGTAAATAAGGACCCCTTTGGAGACCACAGGGTAGAAAGGACACAATCTGCAATATAGATAGGCAACTTGCAGACGATAAAGATACCTGGTTTCGGCAGAGGAAGACAACCTCTAGGTGAACAAGACAAAATGGGTTTCAACTGGAACAAGACCAACTGAGGTCACGGATGAGAAAGAACTTCCTAAGAATTAGAAGGGATGACTAAGTAGATTTAAATGTTTTGGTTTTTTTTTTTCCCAAGAACTTTTCAAAGAAGATACATGCCCACCAAATCACATGCCTTCTGGGTGACTGTTTTGGGGCAGAATGAGATCATTCTAAAGATCCCTTGAACTGCAAAGTCAAGAAGAATGTACCCCACAGGGCAGCCCATCAGGATGGGCCTCCCAGAGAACCTAAGAAGGGGGTGGGAATTTCAAGTTCCAAGTCTCAAGAAACAGAGGCAAGGAACACATCTACAGGCCCTCATCCCCTGCTCCCAACTCAGCTCTGCCCTGGAGATGCCATGGCCTCCAGACTTGTACACACAACTCCTGACGGATTGACACTCTGGAGGACCTCTGAGTAACCACAGGGTAACCAAATTCCTTCCTCAGAGCCTGGTGCACCCAGCTGGAAACTGACATCATGCGAACCAAGCAGATGTGCCCCAAGAGGCTGACAATCTGCCAGAAGTCACTCAGATTACATCCACTGCAGGTTCAAACAGGGGGCCATGGAGAGAAAATGTGTTCTCTACTGGGATGGCATTTATGTGAGAAGCAGTAGATGCCACAGACCCCAGGCACCAACATGCTTACAAGCAGCAAAGAACCATGGGTGGCCTTTACTATAAGCAGGAAGCAACAGCTGCTGCTGTGATTTTATTATTATTTTTTAATATTTATTTATTGGTGCTGGTCCTTGGGCTTGAACTCAAAACCTGAGTGCTGTCTCTGAGCTTTTTCATTTTTATTTTTTTTTGTCGGTCGTGGGGCTTGAACTCTGGGCCTGGGCACTGTCCCTCAGCTCTTCAGCTCAAGGCTAGCGCTCTACCACTTGAGCCACAGCCTCACTTCCTATCCTTGAGTTTTTTTGCTCAAGGCTAGTGCTCTACCAGTTGAGTCACAGCTCTGCCTCTGGTTTTTAGGTGGAAATTGGAGATAAGAGTCTCATGTACTTTCCTGCTCAGGCTGGTTTCGAACTGTGATCCTCAGATCTCTCAGCCTCCTGGGTAGCTAGGATTATAGGTGTGAGCCTCCATGCAGCATTCTGCAGGCTGCTGTGATTTCTATGGGTAAGGCTCACCTCGACCTCATTCCTAAGACCCTGGGCCATAAACTTTGATGTGTGGATTCAAACTGGTAGACAAGGTGTGTTCTGTGGGCTTAAGGGCCCAGCGGCCCCCATCCCTCCCCGCTGACTGTTGACTGTTTAGGATCAAGGATCCTGAGGGTGTCTTGAGGAGATTTCCTGTGGGACATCTACTTGTTTCCAAGTCCGCATCTCTGCCTGCCTCTCCTGGGCTGGCCTCAGCAGGCCACAAAGACTGAAAACTTAGCCAGTGTAACCCCAGATCTGCTATTGGGAATAACAAGTCACCAAAGGGTGCTTTTTAAATAAAGGGTTTGCTGCAAATGCACCTCCAGGCTGGAGTGCCTCAGGGGGCCGCAGGTAACTAACTGCAAGGCAGACTTGCTGCTTAAAGACAAACAAGGGGCAGATTCCCTAGAACTCTGTCCCTCCCATACGCTCCCTCTCAACTCCCTCCCATAGCGCACACCCCTGAGAAAGCCTGCTAGGGGGCTGGGTAAACAGATTTCTCTGTGGCCACTTTAAGAAGAGGGGCCTAGTCACCCCCAACCCTCAGCCCAAGTGGTGAGACAAGTCAGCTCAGGAAGAAGCAACTGGACCAATTTACAGATACTAGAGGAAGGGGAGGGGAAAGCCACTCCACCCAGGAAACCCAGGTGTTTGGCTTTCTAGCTTTGTCCTTTCACAACTGAATGCTGGACCCTGCGGGAGAATGAGGAGCCAGCACCAGAACCACAAGTCCACATGAGACCACAGAAAGACTGTAGTTTAGAGACTTGGCCCAGGGAGGAAAGATGTCATCTTGAGAAAAAGACAGAACTACAAAGAACCTCAAAAGAAAACTCAGGCAAGCCCCAACCCCAGCCCCAGGTTCTTTCCAAAAGAGATGGGTCATGCTGGAACCTACGGAGGGCCCGATGCCCAGGCCTTTCGGATGTGGACAAGAGTGGCATGAGACCACGTGACCTAAGCATAGCTGCGTCAAGGGGCTGAGAAAATAGTCTTTAGAAACAGGCCAAGATGCTTTATTTCCAGGTGTCAAAGGAAATGACTACAAGAAATGTGAGTTTCATGTTCCACAATTTTTATATTTTCATGTGCCTTGGTGACCTACTTTTCAATTGCATTACACAATGGAACGTGCAATTTTTGTTTCTGTTGTTATTTTTATAAGTTATGGTTTATTATCCCTGAAGTACTTAATCCATTGTCCCAGGCCAAACTGCTATCCTTAAGACCAGCACATTACTTAGAATAGGTATGGTGCAGACAGGGCTGGCACGCATTAAGGTGACATCAAGGTACTAAGCTCTACCCCACACAACCCACAGATTCATATGAATGCCACAAGGATCTCACTGCTGACAGTTTTAGCCAAAAATTTCCTTCTTCCCATAGCCCCTCGCTACCTAGTCTCGCCTCTTGTCTTGGGCTGGCAACTAAACCCAGTGCCCCAGCTGCCATGAGCCCAGCTTGGCCTCTGGTTGGCAAGAATCCCGGCTGCAGTGCTTTCTTAAGGTGAGTGGGCAGGAGGAACTGACAAGTAGATCCACAGCATCCTCTCTAGCTGTGCCTCAGTTTCTCACGACTCCCTGCAACACAGCAGCCTGGCAACAATTACTTGCGCTCGTGTCACAGGCTTCATCTCTTGCACCTTGGTTCTCATGATTTCTGCATGTAGCTCCTTTGTTGACACCCACTGTTTATCCCTCTCCGAGCATTTCTCTGCCTCAATATCCCCCCATAGCTCAAGACTGCAGCCCAGCAAAAAGCCCCCTGGCATTGTACATAGCCTCAGTAGAGCAGCTCTGTTCACAGCTGCTGCTTCCGTGTTTCTGGGGCTCTTCTGGGTGGACCTGAATTCCCAGGGCAGCAACAGAAGGACCATGGAAGTAGACCAAGTAATGACTAGGGGTTCACTGGATGGATGTGTGTGCAGCCCCATTGAACCCTAAAGTAGGCAGGGACACCCATAGCAGAGTTCGGTCAAGACAGCTCCGAAGCTGTTCCTAAGAGATCAGGAATTTCAAAGCACAAACCACAGGAACAAAACCTATTGCTCTCTCCTCATTCTAAACTTCTATGGGGGCGGGGGGGAGACTGTGAGAGAATGAGAAAAAAAAGCAGCCGAGAAGAGGCCAGGCCATCAACAAACACGTGCCCCACGTGCTTGTATACATGTGCCTGTGTGTGCCAGCTGAAGCCTAGCTGGTGCCACTGTCCCACATGAACAGCGACGGGTGTGGAGGGAGGAGGGCTGTGAGTGAGTTTTGGAAGACTTCCGGTGCCTTTCCCGGGGATGGTCAAGACAAGAAGAAACAAGGAGAGACTAGGGCAGAAGAGCTCCTCCCTAGCTCTTCCCCAGCCTGCTCGCTCTAAGCAGCCACCTCAGAGGTGGCCGGGCAGCTCTGTAGAAGGCTCCCGACCTACCACCCAAAGGGCTGGAGAGGAGTTCCCCCCCCACCAACACCCCTATCATACCCAGATGGTGACCCTGTCCTGAGATGCGGACAAAAGCATGAAATGGTTGCAGCAGGGATGAGTAAGAGGGAAGAGGGCAGGGGGAGGAGGATGGCAAGGGGATTTTGGAGGGAGAGAAAGCTGCCACACTCACCCCTACGCCACCATCGCCACACCCCCCCCACACCACACCACACACATGCATGCACTTTCCCCAGTATACTCAACACACCCCTTCTGAGCAATGTCGTCAGCCAGGATAGAACCCCTGAAGGAAAGGGGGACAAAGAGGAGGGGGGAGAGTCAGACAGAGAGGAAAGGCCATAGCAGAGCCAGCCTGGCTGGAGCTGTGGGCAGGTGCACTCTGGGTGGCCACGGGCTGGGGGCCCTACCAGGGCAAGCACACATGCTGCTCAGCTCCTGGGTGGGGGTGGGAGTCTGAGGAAGCCAGTGAGAGAGCAGCGCAAGTCAGGGACAGACAAAGCAGGAGGCAGGCCAGGAAGGGCTGGAAGGGGCCCGGGTAGCTGGAGGCCTCCAGGCTGGGTTTATCTCCGGCTGTCATCAGTGGCCAAAGGGTCTGAAGTACGTTTCCAGCAAGGAATGGGGCTACAACTGGCCCATCTGGGGGTCTCTGTGTTATTTTTTAAAGGTACCTCTTCCTAAAGGGACTTCATCTGAGAAAACACTGCACTGCTTTTTTGTGTGTGGTTGTGCCAGTCCTGGGTCTTGAACTCAGCTGTCGCTGAGCTATTGTGCTCAAGGCTAGCTTTCTACCACTTAAGTCACAGTTCCACTTCCAGCCTTTTGGTGGTTAATTGGAAATAAGAGTCTCACAGACTTTCCTGCCCAGGCTGACTCTGAATTGTGATCCTCAGATCTCAGCTTCCTAAGCAGCTAGGCTCATAGGCATGAGCTACCAGCGCCAGCAGTATTGCTTTGTTTATTTTTAGCAGGCATTTTAGTAGTATTTGAAGCTGCACTGAACTGTGGTACACATGGCACTCACACTGTATGCAACCTGTACAATGATCCACAGTTGCCTGGGCTGAGTAGCATCAGGCAGGGATCTGGCCTGGACACTAGGGAGGAGTCGGAAGCCTTCTTGCCCTGGCTGCAAGTTGAATTTAAGGACCTGGCCTAGCTCAGGCAGGAGGAGGAAGAGACAGAAGGGTAGGGGCCCTGGATAGTTAAGGGAACAGCCAGGAAGCAAGGTCAAAAGTTGTGCACCTTGGGATATGGGATCCTGTGCAGGGTCCTGGGAAGAGGCTGGGACCACAGCACCTTTCATGTCATGAGATCTGCTGTGCCCAGTGCATAAACATCAAGGCACAGGAGGCCAGTCCGAGGTTGGGCTTTTCTGGCATCTCAAAGTGTCCTGGCCAGGGCTCAGAGAGCATCCTATCCCCTGATGGAGGTAGAAGGGCTTTGCCATCCTTCCTAGCACCCAGGACCTAGGGCTGGAGTGCCCAGCGAGGATGGAAGAGATCAGCCTGAGTGTGGCAGGGAGAGTGGGCGAGGCCAAGGGTGAGCTCACCTTCTGCGCACCGAGAAGGCGCGGCAGTGACATGAAACATGAGGTCACATGGCCTCCCCTCCGGCCTTAGCAGGCCTACATATCTGCACAGAGAAGGAGAAGAGGTTGAGAGGAGAAAGTAGCAGCACAGCACAGCACAGCACAAACCTGAACAGCTGTAATGGTGGAATGGACAAAGAGGCGAAACAGACAGCAGAGAAGGGAGGGAGCAGAGAGAGGGGGACCACATGGGGGAAGGGAGGGAGATCAGGGAGGGAGACGGGGTGGGGGCAGGGCCAAGGGCGGGTGAGCTTCCCATCATGCACTTCAAGATGCTCAATCAGACACGGTAGATGGTCACTCAGACGCCATGCAGAGCACATGACAGGCCTGCGGACTAAAGCTGTGAATGTTCTGTGGTCAGAGTGACACTGCAGGATGGACATCTGCTGCCCAAGCTAAGCTTGGGAATGAACATGTTCTAGTCTTCAAGGCGTGTAGTGTGACTGGGGCCCTTGTACAATACACAACCTGCACAACTGGACTTTTAGCCTCAGCCCTCCCTGAGCAAACCTGGACCAGGACACATGTAGGACTCACAGCTACCCACCTCTCTCTCTCCACCCCCGCCACCCTGGGCTTGTGCTGGCCTACATCCCAGAACACCAGTGGTGCAATGATCATGTGGCCCACAGGAGGTTTATAATGCCTTTGCACAAATGGGAACGTGAAGAGTGGGGATGAGGCTCAGACCTGCCTCTGGAGGAAGCCCAGGGAAACCCATCGCTTCCACAGAGCTAGGCCTGGCAGGCTGCAGCCCACACGGCCCTTGCACCCAGCCTTCACTATCTAGCCCAGTCAGCTGGTCCAGAGGTGAGCTCATCTTCATCATCTCAGTAACATGAGAACATGAGAGAGACAGCAGAGGTGAGGCAGGAGAAAAGGGCCGAGCAAGAACACTCCAGAACCAGAGCTAATGCTACCCATAAGAACAGACTGTCCAGACGCCTGCAAGGTGGGGGGCAGGAGGGCATGGGTGGGGTCCCACATGAGGTATGCTGGGCCTGGAAGGAGCAGGGGCCCCAGGTACCTTCTGCGCTCCAGAGAAGGCATGGTAGAAGCTGGACACGTAAGTCATGATGGCTTTCTCATCTGGCCGGGCAGTTCCGACAATGTCTGCCAAGAAAGATCTGTGGTTAGAGCCAGCAGGTGAGTACCCGGTACCTCCTATACACAGATGGAAAGAGTCCTGCACATTGGGAGTTTGTCGCACCAAAAATGCCAAGCAGCGGGCCAGGCTGCCAACAGGAACATGGGATGCAGAGGACTGGGGAAATAGGGGATGCTCTGCTGGGAAGCATTCAATGGCAGGAGTGAAGGGGTCAGAGGGAATAGGAAGGTTGTGTAAGTACTGGTGGCTTCTGCCTGTAATCCTAGTGCCTCAGATGGCTGAGATCTGAGGATCTCAGTTCAAAGCCAGCCCAGGCAGGACAGCCCATACCAGCTAAGAGACAGGCCCTGAGTGCTGCCACAAATGCCTCCATACTGGCACATGCATGCACGCGTGTGTGTGCGTGCACAAACACACATACACACACTCACACATACACATTTAAAAAAAACACCTTTTTAGGTCAAGGGGGAGATCTGATTATGAACTGGAGGTAGTCAAGGGATGACTGTCATTTTGTTAGATGTGAAAACTGATTTCAAGATACACAATTTTTTATTTTCATTTTTTATTTTTTGCTTGTTATGGGGCTTGAGCTCAGGGCCTGGGCGCTGTCCCTGAGCTTTTCTGTTAAATGCTAGCACCCTACCATTTTGAGCCACAGAGCTATGTCGAGTTTTCTGGTGGTTAACTGGAGATAAGAGTCTCATGGACTTTTCTGCCTGGGCTGACTTCAAACAGATCCTCAGACCTCAGCCTCCTGCATAGCTAGGATTACAGAAGTGAGCCACAGTGCCTGGCTCAAAAAAATAAAATAAAAATAAATTATATATGTATGTATTTGGAAGTAGACAGTGGTACCCAAGATCTGATTTAATATATTTCAATAAAGAAAAAAAATCCCAATTATCTTATCTAGATGATCCATATATGAGCTCATTATGCTATTCTCATACTTCTGGTCACTTTTTTTAAAAAAATTGTTTTGTTGGCTGTGGGGCTTGAACTCAAGGCCTGGGTGCTGTCCCTGAGCCTCTTTGTGCTCAAGGCTAGTGTTCTACCACTTGATCCATAGTGTCACTTCTGCTTTTTTTTTTTTGTCTGTCGTGGGGCTTGAACTCTGGGCCTGGGCACTGTCCTTCAGCTCTTCAGCTCAAGGCCAGTGCTCTACCACTTGAGCTACAGTGCCACTTCCAGTTTTCTGGTGGTTTATTGGAGATAGGAGTCTCACAGTCTTTCCTGCCCGGGCTGGCTTTGAACCGTGATTCTCAGATCTCAGCCTCCTGAGTAGCTAGGATTACAGGCGTGAGCCACCAGCGCCCGGCCACTTCTGCTTTTTGAGTGGTTAATTGGAGATAAGAATCTCATGGGGACTTTTCTTTTTTTTTTTTTTTGTCGGTCATGGGGCTTGAACTCTGGGCCTGGGCGCTGTCCCTTAGCTCTTCAGCTCAAGGTGAGTGCTCTAACACTTGAGTTACAGCGCCACTTCTGGTTTTCTAGTGGTTTATTGGAGATAGGAGTCTCACAGTCTTTCCTGCCCGGGCTGGCTTTGAACTGCAATTCTCAGATCTCAGCCTCCTGAGTAGCTAGGATTACAGGCGTGAGCCACCGGTGCCGGGCTTCATGGGGACTTTTCTGCCTGAGCTGGCTTTGAACTGCAATCCTCATATCTCAGCCTCCTGAGTAGCTAGGATTATAGGGGTGAGCCACTGGCACCCAGCTAAAAAAATTTTTAGTAGTATTTTCAACTTTAAGAGGTCAGTAGGGTTGGGCATGGTGGCATACACCTGTAATCCCAGCTAAGTGGTAGGTGGAGGCAGGATAGAGTTCAAAGCCAATCTGGGCAATGTTAGCACAAGATTCTATTTTGAAAACTGAAATCAAATCAAAGGGCTGGGGATACAGCTCAGGTAGTAGAGCCCTCGCCTGGCATGTCCATGGTTCAATCAACATAGGAAAAAGAAGAGAAGAGCCACCAGGGTGGGGCAGGAAGCAGAAGGGAAGGAGGCAGCATGGGAGCCGCCTCCTCCGGCTGGAGCTGGGCACCAGGGCAGTCCATGCCAGAGCTTTCTGGCTCTCTCCTCAGAAGTGGGGGGAGGGGTGTGCCCCCAGGACCACAAGGACTTAGAAGGAGGCAGGAGCAGGCAGCACAGCCAGAGGAGGTGAGGGTTCTGAGGTCTACGGTCTGCCAACTACCCCAGAGTACAATGGGTTAGGATGATAGGCCTCTGCAGGGCGCCTCTCAGCCAGAGGACCCCATCCCTACCATCCCAAATGGTGGACAGGAGCTGAGTCAAAAGGGAACACTCCATCCCACTCACCCCCACACCCACTCCCCTGACCCCCAAAGGTGAGAGCTTCCTTAGGCCACGGGTACCTGTGTCATACCAGCTAGCTCCTCTCCTCCAAACCACAGGGAGCTGCAGAATCCTGGCATGCAAGGGACCCCAGGCTCCTCAAATGGGGTTTAACTGGGGAGGGGGGGCACGGGGCTCGAACCCAGGGCCTGGGTGCTGTCCCTGAACTTTTTCACCTAAGGCTAGTACTCTACCACTTTGAGCCACAGCGCCACTTCTGGCTTTCTGGTGGTTCACTGGAGGTAAGAGTCTCACGGACTTTCCTGCGCAGGCTGTCTTCGAACTGTGATCCTCAGACCTCAGCCTACAGAGTAGCTAGGATTACAGGTGTGAGCCACTGGCACCTGGCTTCAAATGGGGTTTAGCAGACAGACCAGGCCCTCCCCCTTCTGCCTCGGGGAAGAGCCAGGGGGCACGGAAGGACAGTGCTTTACCTTCAGCGTCCAGCATCTTGGGGATGTCCAGGTACTTCTCTGCCACATCGAAGGCTGTATTCAGGTTTGTGAGTGGATCGTCCTGGAGGGAAAGAGGAGAAAGCCATGACAAAGAGCATGACACCCAGCTGTGGTCACCAAAACTGGTTGGGGTGGCTGGGGTACTTCTACCCATCACGTTCCTCCTTGAACTTCCATACAGAGTGAGCAACACTGGCCTGGTGCTAGGATTGCTAAGAAATGCATGCTGGGAGCAGGGCAACCATTCATGCTGCCACCAGCCAGTGGGACTCAGTTTCCCCATCCATAACTCAAGAGTTGAGTTACAAGCTCTGAATCAGGAGCCTATGCTCCATGAAGTTTATTTTATTTTATTTTTTGTCAGTCATGGGGCTTGAACTCTGGGCCTGAGCGCTGTCCCTCAGCTCTTCAGCTCAAGGCTAGAGCTCTACCATTTGAGCTACAGCTCTACTTCTGGTTTTCTGGTGGTTTATTGGAGGTAAGAGTCTCATGGACTTTCCTGCCTTGGCTGGCTTTGAACCACGATCCTCAGATCTCAGCCTCCTGAGTAGCTAGGATGTAGTAGCTAGGATTACAGGTGTGAGCCACTAGTGCCCGGCTCCATGAAGTTTCTGAGCTCTTTCAAGTAGCCAGAGCCTTCTGATTCCCTGTGCCTCTGCCACCTTCTTGGGAATGATGAGGTTGTGGGAAAATGGGGATTCCTGCACATTGGGATATAATGCAAACACTGGTGGGGATATAAAACAGTGCAGCTGCTGTGGAGACCATTATGGCAGATCCTCAAAGACCTAAACACAGGCCAGGCACAGGAGCTCAAGCCTGCAGTCACTCAGAAGACAGAGGTCAGTAGGATCACAATTTGGAGCCAGCAGGACCTGGGAGCTATCCTTTAGTTTTTGTTTGCTCAAAGCTGGTGTTCTACCACTTAAGCCACAGCTCCACTTCCAGCTTTTTGGTGGCTAATTGGAGCGAAGAGTCTCCTGCCCCAGCTGGCTTTGAACCACAATCCTCAGATCTCAGCCTCCTGAGTAGCAGGGATTACAGGTGTGAGCCACCAGCGCCCAGCCAGCAAAGAAGTTTTGTTTGACAGCTCAGAAATCAGTTTTCCTGTATGTTCAATACAAAGCAACAGAGGAATAAATGCACACATTTGGCAGTTTTCAGAGGAAATTATTCAAAATAGAGCAAGATAGGGGTCCTTCTGGGAACTTGACAGTAGCCAGGTTAATAAAATAAATAGCACCCAGCAGTGAAGGTCATTTCCATCGAGGGCTGGTGCAACTGAGGTTAGTGTGCAGGCTCCAAGTGTATTCTCCCCGCCCCCCCCCAAAAGCCAGGACCAGAAGAAGGAACTTCCCCATGGAAGCCCCCTACTCTCAAGCACCAGTTGGCTCTGCAGTTGGCTCTGGGAAGTTTTCCCAGCTCTCCAGGCTCAAGTCTGTGCAGGGACTGGGCTGTGCATCATGGACGGTGCTGAGCTGAAGAGAAGGAGTGAACACCTAACAGGCAAAATGGGCAGAGAGGAAGAGAGGCTGAGGGGGGACCCTAGCAGGGTGCCAGACACTCCTGGACTCCTGTCTCCCAAAGGCTTGTAGCTTCTGCAGCCTCCAGAGTGGACAAGTGACTTCAGAGGCTCAGCCAGCATAGGTGCCACTTTCTATGGAAGGTGGGAAATTGCTGTGCACATGGGTGTGACACACCTGCCAGCCCAGCCCAGCCCAGCAGCTCAACAGGAAGGCATATAAGGCTGCCACAACTCTCAGGATGCTATAGCTTCTCAATGTGTGTGTGTGTGTGTGTGTTTTCCTTTGCAAAACAGCTAAACTAGTAGGCTGGGATCTCCCCTGTCCCTAGGTTAGCTTGAGGAAAGCTAGGCCTTGATATCCACACAGACTAGACTGAGCCACATACAGAGCCAGGCCACCAACTCTTCTCCTTCAGCAGATGGACCCTTGTAGGTGGGCAGAGGTCCCAGCCCCAAGCTTCAGGTGTCCCTTTCTTCCTCACAGGTCCTTGGTGGCAGCTTGTGAACTACCCTCCCCCAAATGGAGGGTGCTCAGCATGGATAATGTATACCTTGCTCAGGCATTGGTTGGCTAGAGACCCTTCCCAGGACACAGGCAGGCAGGGACTGTCCTGAGCACACTGCCTTCCAGCTATCAAAAGGCAGTGCAGCAATGCAAGACCCTCATTCCTAGAAGTCCTCTCGCTACAAGATCTGATCATGGACAGGTGACATTTTGATTTTATTCCAGATCACCAATTAGGGGTTTAGGAGGGCTCAAGTGCCCGACCCATAGATACGCAGGGCATTGGTCTCTTGGCCCTGGGATGGATATGAGGACAGGCCAATGTCTTTTAACCAGTGTGGATGCCAAGAACTGCTAAGCTCGAAACAGCCCCTGACTCCTCATCACACACACACACACACACACACACACACACACCATTACATACTTGCGCAAGAAAACCACCTAGCAGTGCCATGCCAGCTGCACAAATGAAGTTACCGAGATGGTGTACACCTGCAGTCCCAGGCTCCTCAGGAGCTGTGGCAGGATAATCCCTTGAGCTCTAGAGCCCAAAGACCAGTGTGGGCTATGTAGCCAGCAGCATGGCAAGAGCACAAATGTAACCCAGCAGCAACCAAGAGAATCAAACCTACGGATGGGATACCCTGCCTGAAACTGCACAGCAGGGCAGGGACAAGCCTGGGATTAGTGTCTCCTAGGAGATGCAATGCTTGAAATCATGGGACTAAAATCTCCACCACAGAAAGCCAGGAATAATAGAAGAGAGAAGTACCACGCAGCCTGCCATCACACTAAGGACACAGCCACCACGGCTCTGGTAGCGGCAGTTATCTGGTGGGCTGTATGTGTGGGGTACCATGTCATACATGCTGGGTAAAGAGGCAACCCTCGGGCTGGGAAGGTGGCTCAGTGGTAGAGCGCTTGCCTTGCATGCCTGAGGCCCTGGGTTCGATTCCTCAGCACCACATAAGCAAAAAGAAAAAAGCCAGAAGTGGCGCTGTGGCTCAAGTGGTAGAGTGCTAGCCTTGAGCTGAAGAGCTGAGGGACAGCGCCCAGGCCCAGAGTTCAGGCCCCACGACCGGACCCCAAAAAAAAAACAAAAAAGAGGCAACCCTCACAGGGAAGGTGTTTTTCTTATCACTTCTAGATAGGGCTTTGACTGGCTAGTGTATAGGTTCAAAACCCCTCGGCCTGGACTTTCCTAGACAGACTGTCCTGCCCTCTCTCCCAGTCTACCCCACCCACCAGAGACCAGAGGGCCAGGAGGTGGAGGCCCACATACCTTCCGCAGCTTCCCATAGTCAATCAGTTCTGGCCGGTGTCGGTGAATCAAGGCACAGAAGCCAAGGCCGTCCTTCCAGCTGCCGGAGAAGAGGGAGAAAGAACAAGGTACGCTAGTGAGTAAGCCCCGTGGGGGTGGAGGAGGTAGCCCAGCCAAGGGCACCGTTGCAAGCTGGGGCCTCTTATGCTCCATGGATGATTCCCTAACTCCACGGAGCAGGATTTGGAAGACAGGATGGAAATTCTGCTTGCCACACTCCTAGGCACTGAGGTCAAGCTTGGGATGGGGTTGGCCAGTTAAGATGAACTGGGGACATCCAGCTTTCCCCACACCAAGCTTACAGCCCTGGTCTTGCTAGTCTGTAATTTCTCAGTACCTTCTCCTTCCAGCTCTTCCACTACCATACCCATCAACCAGAGGGGTGTCAGGCAGTGGATGTGGCCACGGTACTGGGGGGAGGGTGGAGAGGTCCAAAGGCACAGCAACACCTCTTCCCCCAAAAGGCCACTTCCTCCCTGTGAGGGCCCAATGGTGCTCTGGAATGGAGATCATCCGGCCAAGGGGCCTGGAGTTGCTGAAGGAGGCTGCAGAAGTCCTGGCCCCTACACTCACCTGATGTGGAAGTTCTGGATGTTGACATTTTTGTAAGGGGCCGTCTTCCTCTGACACCACAGGAGCAGCCCTTCCTTGGCCGAGGTCTCTGTGGGGAAGGGGATGGGTAGAGGTCAATGCCTGACCCAGGGGAAGCAGAGGGAAGCGGAAGGGGTGGGGAGGCTGGCTCACAAAGGGCCCCACCGTGATGTCTAGAGTCCAACCCTGCTGCTAAGGAGGGAAGAAGCCCAGGCTATTCTTCCTGGCTGTTTGATTGTTTCAGAAGTTATTCGAGAACAGAAAGGCAAGCTAGCCACATCAGACACTGAAAATCAGAGACAGGAGCTGCTTTTCAGACTTTTGGAGCACCGTCCAGGCTCCTTTTCATTCAAAGAAGTGGTAGCAAGACAAGAAAAGTTAGCAACCTCTAACAAGTGGTAGCTCTGGGGAGAACTCCGAACAGTCTTGAAAATCTACAGGTCCAGAGAAGCCTCAGGATGGTATTATACAGCCTACAAAGCGCAAAGAGCACAGGAGAAGAACGTGATGATTCTGACCCAGGTTTTTATGTTTACTTAAATAAATAATGGCTGCCTATATTTACTGCGTACTGTGTGTACGCAGCAGTCAGGTGTCCGATGACAGGGGACGCAGGTTGCTCTCAGCATCAATAGGCAGCAAACTGCACTGCCCCCTGGGGTCATGTCTATGAATTGCAGGTTATGGTACCCAGTGAAGTGGGTTCATGGTTGATCTCATTTATTTTCACAAAGTGGACTCAAAAATGTTAAAATATGCCTACAAAGATTATAACACCTCAGGCAGGAGCATACAAAAATGGTCTCAGCTAGTGTTGCTACTGAGTTCAAGCTCCCATGTTAAAAAAAACACAACAAAATGGACAATTTGAATCAACAAGAACTCCACCCAAAAGAATAAAGAAAAGCAAGACAACTATTTGAAAAATAAATTTATATCCACTATCACTAACAAGAAGCACACTTTAAGAGAGTATTGTGGGCCATACTTCAAACTTCAGACTTTAGACTTCAGTGCTGAATTATACAGTATCGAAACCTAAAATTTGCATAACAAAATAAATTACCCACATTGTTCACATCAAGACATGCCTTTGGATAAAACTGCTTATGATTTCTATGCCACTAAAATGAACCAAATAGTTCAAACCCCATGACTGACAAAAGCTAAACTAAACCAAAAATATTTTTAAAACATGATTTCCATTTCATAATTTAAAAATTGGTTCTTATACATGTGTTTTAGCATGTTCGCAACAATATACAATATCATAAAATATATACATGCACATCAAACAGCCTCAAAAACTGCTGTACAGAAGGACCACTGACCGTCCCAATCATTGTGGGCCCCCCTGCAGATCCACAGAGTTGCCACTAGAGGGTGCTGTGAGAGCAAAGTGATGGACTCAGCTCCCTGTCTCTGATCTCTACTTTGTTTTTCTCACCAAGACTGTGATGGGGTTTCTAATAAACTTCCCACCACAGCTCTGGGCTTCCTCAAATGGGAGGAGCCATAATACATCTGTAGGTTGTTTACTGGATGATGTTGATGCTTACTGCTATTAACTTTCCCCTCAAGGCTATTTTCCCTTTATCCTTTAAGTTTTGATCCAACATAACCACAGGAAAAAGCTCCATTAAAAAAAAGAAAGAAAGAAAAGAAAAAAGAAAAAAGCTCTTTCCCTACACCAGAACAAGAGGCCTAGGGACAGAAATGACCTGTGATCCAGTATGGTTGCCCCAGGAGAAGGAGTTTCCCTGGCTGAGCCCAGAGAGGAAGAAAGATGAAGAAGGCCAGGGAATGGTAACAAGCTTGAGGAATGGAAGACAGCAGAGACCTACCTTCCACAGAGATGTCTTGGATGGCAAAGCGAAGGATGATGGTCCAGATCATACCCAAGGTCATTTTCACGTTCCCGTCCACGATTTCTACAGAAAGAACAGCACGCTACGTGAGTGAGGACCGATGACAGGAGGCCAGAATTACCATCCCCAGAATTCCCTCATAGGTCCACACACCTAGGCCTCCAAACCAACAGAGCTCCATCCAGCTTGCAGAGGAAAAGAGTAGATTTTTATTTTTATTTTTGTGCTGAGGATGGAGCTCAGGGCCTTGAACATACTAAGTATACACTCTACCTGTGAGCCATCCTACCTCTCAATCCCTAAAAGAAAGTTTTTAAGTCAGTGCTATCAACCAACAGTTAGATGCTAGGAGAGAAGTCTATCTTGGGCCACAGAGAAGAGGTGCCTTAAGCTCTGAACTGTGTCACCAGCCTGACAGATGAGAGGGGCTGGATTTCTAAGTCATCCCACAGCTTTGGACCACTCCATGAGCTGGGTCCTATATAATCACTATGCTCAGAACGGCAGTCCACACAGAGAGCTGCAGACTTGACAGTTCTATAAAATATACCTTGAATGGTCCTCGGACTCCCCAATCAACTCTCTTAGGCCATTCCTAAGGTACTCATATAGAATTTTATTTTTTAATTATACATCAAGTTCTTCACTTAGAAACCTGCTCTTTGGTACAAGCAGTAATTTTTAAACTATTAAATGCTGTAAATTCTATTTTTTTTAAATACCAGGCCTAGAAGCACAAATACAAACATAAATCAGTTCTGTTTTTTTGTTTGTTTGTTTTGTTTTTTTTTTTTTTTTTTTTGTTGGTCGTGGGGTTTGAACTCTGGGCCTGGGCGCTGTCCCTCAGCTCTTCAGCTCAAGGCGAGCGCTCTACCTCTTGAGCTACAGCGCCACTTCCAATCAGTTCTGTTTTTAAGGAGCCTAAGTCACAGGGCTCTTTATGGTCTTGGTGGTTGGACAGTGAGACTCCTTAGCAGACCAGGGAAGGCTGACCTATTACAAGGTACGCTCAGTCAAGAGTAAGAAACCAAGGAATATCTTATTTTCCCCTTTTTAGGAGAGATCAGGAGATCCATGAGAGGGGTCACTTCCACATGCATGAGGGTCTGTACCCGCACATCCCTAACTATGGTGATTCCAGTGCGGCAAGCCTTGCTCTAGGATCTTTGCCCCTTCTTCAAAAACTAGGGCAGAACTGCACACAGCTCTACAGCCGACAAGTTTCAAAGCAGAGAGCTACTTCCCGCAAGCAGCAGCTCCACTGAGTCTGCGTGTGGGTAACTGGCGAAGGAAGACCAGTATCCACTTGGGACACCAGATAGGACAGAGTGCTTCCCACTAACAGAGCCCCAGGCTCCAGGAGAGCACTAGCCCATGCTGGAAGACTTGGTGCCAGTGGCTCACGCCGGTAATCCTAACTACTCAGGAAGCTGAGATCTGAGGACTGCAGTTCAAAGCCAGATTGGGCAGGGAAGTCTGTGTAACTCTTATCTCCAATTAACCACCTGAAAACCGGAAGTGGAGCTATAGCTCAAATGGCAGAGTGCTAGCCTTGAACTGAAGAGCTCAGGGACAGTGCCCAGATCCAGAGTTCAAGCCCCACAAACAACAACAACAACAAAAAAGATATAGACAGCCACATCCAGCATAAAACTATTTTCAGTCAAACGTAGTGATTCACATCTGTAATTCTAGCTATGTAGGAGGCAGATGTAGGAGGATCACAGTCTGAGGTTGGCCTCAGGCCCCCCCCCAAAAAAGTGCAAGACTCTACCTGTAAACAAACTAAAAAGCAAAGCACTGAGAGCATCTGTCTAGTGAGCATGAGGCCTTGAGTTCAACACACAGAACTCTAACCCCGCTCCTACCCACCAAAAAAAAAAAATCAGTTCATAAAGTGATGATCATTTTATCTATAGCTTCCAATGCTTTGATATCTGTAACACTTAAAGAGTTTAAAGTGATAAGAAAAGTCTAAGTTCTCAGTAGGTAAATAGGCAACAGGCACAAACAGACATATCACCATATCACAAAACATGAACTATAAATAACCAATTCATAAGCATGTTTAATCTCGCTTGAAATCAAAGAAATAAGATTATTTTTCCAGTGATTAAGTCTGCAAAGTTAAAAAACTAAAACAGGCATACGTCTCAGTATTTTCAGGATTTACAGCTAGAAGTATAAACTGGCTCTGTGTGTGTGTGTGTGTGTGTGTGTGTGTGTGTGTGTGTGTGTGTGTGTGTGTACCCAAGTGCTTGAATTCAGGGGCTGGGCACTATCCTGTGTGTGTGTGTGTGTGTGTGTGTGTACCCAAGTGCTTGAATTCAGGGGCTGGGCACTATCCCTGAGCTTTTGTGCTCAAGGCTAGTGGAGCCATGGCTCCACTTCTCGCTTTTTGGTGGTTAATTGGAGATAAGAGTCTCACGACTTTGTTGCTGAAACTGTGCATTCTGTTCCCTTCCAGGATGCCAGCTCCACAAGGTCAGGCTTTTTCCTGGTTTGTATCACTGCTTAGCATCTGGTGCAGTACCTGGCAGTGAGGACATTCTCCACTAGTATTTGCTGAGTGAGTGAATGAGTGAATGAATGAATGAATGAATGAACCCTGGCAGGCACTAATATAATGACTGCATGTTCAGAGGCCTCTAGGAACACAGCGGGCTTTCCCAGAGCAGGCCCAAGCATGGGGCACAGCAAGGATGTGCTCAAACAGAAAACAGCCAGCAAAGACTGCGCTCATGAGTTTTTAATGACTTAAAAAAAATCTTGATAATGACATTTTATGGAGAGCATTTCAACTCTAAGAGAAATCTCACAATAAAAAAAAAAAA